CAGTATGAGGTCTGGAGCAGGTTTTCATCAAGGATTGCTCTGTACATTGCTCCGTTCATCTTTCCCTCGATCCTGACTAGTCTCCCAGTCCCTGCCGCTGAAAATCATCCCCACAGCATGATGCTGCCACCACCATGCTTCACCGTAGGGATGGTGCCAGGTTTCCTCCAGACGTGACGCTTGGCATTCAGGCCAAAGAGTTCAATCTTGGTTTCATCAGACCAGAGAATGTTGTTTCTCATGGTCTGAGAGTCCTTTAGGTGCCTTTTGGCAAACTCCAAGCGGGCTGTCATGTGCCTTTTACTGAGGAGTGGCTTCCGTCTGGCCACTCTAAAGGCCTGATTGGTGGAGTGCTGCAGAGATGGTTGTCCTTCTGGAAGGTTCTCCCATCTCCACAGAGGAACTCTGGAGCTCTGTCAGAGTGACCATCGGGCACCTCCCTGACCAAGGCCCTTCTCCCCCGATTACTCAGTTTGGCCAGGCGGCCAGCTCTAGGAAGAGTCTTGGTGGTTTTTTTGGTACCCTCCCCAGATCTGTGCCTCGACACAATCCTGTCTCTGAGCTCTACGGACAATTCCTTCGACCTCATGGCTTGGTGTTTGCTCTGACATGCACTGTCAACTGTGGGACCTTATATAGACAGGTGTGTGCCTTTCCAAATCATGTCCAATCAATTGAATTTACCCCAGGTGGACTACAAACAAGTTGTAGAAACATCTCAAGGATGATCAATGGAAACAGGATGCACCTGAGCTTAATTTCGAGTCTCATAGCAAAGGGTCTGAATACTTATATAAATAAGGTATTTCTGTTTTCTATTTTTAATAAGTTTGCAACAATGTCTAAAAACCTGTTTTCGCTTTGTCATTATGGGGTATTGTGTGTAGATTGATGAGTAAAACAATATATTTAATACATTTTAGAATAAGGCTGTAACGTAACAAAATGTGGAAAAGGGGAAAGGGTCTGAATACTTTCCGAATGCACTGTATTTACAGTAAAACTAGGACATAGAGAAACACACAGTACCATGGACATGTCATTGAGTTCACCTTCTGAGATGTCAACAAAAACTGCTGAATACCATGGGAACAACTTTGGTTTTAGAAGTTGGGGGGGACATAACTTGGCGGGGGGTCTGGGGGTCCTCCCATTTTTGGGGGCATCTAAAGCACATTTCCTGCACATTTCCTACACAATCTAATATGACCCATGACCCTTCTAGCCATCTCTATTTACAACAACAAAAAGTAAGCAAAAATGCCCACTGTCATCAAGCTAGGTAAGAGATCATTATTAAGTATGTTTCTAGTGATTGATAAGACTGAACAGTGTAATTCATATCATAGGCCTAATAGTACTGTAGAGCTCTTTTTACTTGCAGCTGGGTCACCCTGTCCTGCCCCTAGGGGTCCACGGCCCTTCAGCTCCCCAATCCAACACACCCCACTCAGCTTTAGGATCTTAGTGAAACATTCATTATTGTTTTCAGGTGTGTTAGGCCAAGGCCAGAGTGATAACCAACAGTTAGGCTGACCCCCAGGGCCAGGACTGAGCAGCCCAGCAGCTAGGGATTCCCTAAATAGGTATCTTCCCTGACGTGGGCGTGTTTTCAATACAGACTCCTTTTGTCGTACAGTATTCCATATAAGGCATCCAGACCTTATGAAAGTTGCACAGTATACCCTTAATCTTGTAATAAATCAAATCTAGTGATACATAACTTGACATGTCTTCCATCCATTGTATCAACATTTCCAAGCAAACAAAAACAGGGAGATGGGATAATCTGTAGACATGCTGAGATAAAAGAACATACTTTTTGCCAGAATTCAGCCAGCCTTCTCAAGACCATAACATATGCAAGTATGTCCCCTTTTGTGTTTTACACCTCCAGCAGAAGAATAACATTTCTGAGTGCATGATATTAATTTTCACTGGCTATAGTATGTTCTATGGATGGTCTTAAACTGCAGTAATTTATGTCTGAGATTATATGAACATGACTGGGCATTTTAACATATCTCTATCCATTCATCATCATTAATAGCGTCTCCCAGGTCTTCCTCACATTTGTGTTTTGTGTCATCGGGAAAAGCCTATATCAACCCTTAATACCGTTTGGAAATCAACTTTAGAGGATTGTCAGACAACCTTAAAATAGTTTCAATATTTGAAGCTTCTTGCTTGTCCAGTGTTTGCTGAACAGAGATAATAAATTGTTGTATCGGCAAAAGTTCACCTCAGCGCTGTCACAGACTGGCTTCCCTGGCTGTCTGACCCTGATGAGACCCCTGTCACCATCTGATCCTGCTCAGATGAGGCATGACAAAGAATTACATTGGTGTACATTTATACATTATATTATCCATGGATAGAATCAATGGGTCAATAATTGAAATGACCATTAATCCCAGATCCCAGACTGTAGCCTACCCATCACCTCAAGATGGAACTTTGTAACCATTCACTGAATGCTAAAATATACTGCAAAATTCACCTGAGCTCCGTAGACTTGTCTTCCCTGGCTGTCTGACCCTGCAGGGACACCTGTCACCATCTGATCCTGCTAAGACATGATGAGCATAGTGTTGCGTACTGACTGTGCACTATGACAGTGAAGCCTGTAGAGCTGTTTATACCATGTCAGTGTGAAAAGTAGGGAATTAGCTAGGGAAACTGACAGAACAATAATGTTACATTGCTATACTGACTAATAAAAACTCACATTGCGCTGAAAAAACATCTGAATATCGGTCTTCAATCGTTTGGCAGCTGGTTTCATTGTTTGATTCAGGTCTAGTGTGGTTGAGGCAAAAATAATAGCTAAAGTTAGTGATCAACCTTTGGTTGCTACAAAACATTTCTATACACAAAGCAGCAGTTAGATATTGCTACCTGACATATAGCTAGAGTCTAGCTAGAGCTGAACTGGCTGTGGTAGCTAATTAGCTGCTAGTAGCTAGTTCATTCACTTCAGCCGAGAAGGGATGAAACATTAGCTAACGTAACATGTCAGTTACACTACTAGCTCAGCACTGGGAATAAATAAATACAATTCTGCCAAACAGCAGTTACCTTTCCAGCTAGATCAGTCAACTGAAGAGTAGCCAGTTTCTGCTCTGCTTGCTTTTACAACTCAGAGAAAAAGAGCAACACAGACAGCAGCTGCCTCTTTTCATCTCTCCCGTGCTGGTCCTATACGCCAGCCTTTCAGAAGCTTTTCCTTCACACATTCTGTCCGCACACTCTGTTGTGTCCATGCTGTCCTAAATTCCACCTGCAGAAACGGGAAAACAGCTTACCCGACCACTCTGAGGCATCTGCATGGACCTAAAGCACACCGGTGCTGCGTTTTGTATCACAGTGCAATGATAAAACTGGGGGGGACAAATATGCAATTTCTGAATGTGGGGGGGTCATGTCCCCTCGTCCTCAGTGAAAGTTGCGCCCTTGCTGAATACAGTACTGTAACACTGTGCTGAATATATGTATATTCACAAATCATTCTGAGATTCAAAATGTAGTCATTTAGCAGTCATTCTTATCCAGAGCAACGAATAATAAGTATTCTCTAGTATTCTTTGTCTCTTAGTCTTTGAATGTTCTCTCCAGACTAAGTGACTCATTATTACATAGCTAGTCATAATGGCCTAATGAACCAAATCAAAAGGATTGAGGTGAATGAGCTGTCAAAGAACCAATTGGATTAACAAATGAAGACAACAGAATTGAAATATATTCATTATCATTTATTCAACAAAATATGACCTCCCCTTTAAACTGGATAGCTCTGCCATTATCACAGAACATGTTTCTCCTGTATTTGGGTTTGTATCCCACCCTTAACCAGGTCATTCACCAAAAGACTTAACAAAAAAATATCACATCTCATTTCACTATTAATCTGCTATACAAACAACAATTAAGAAGCCATTCATTCAGAGAAGGATAGGAAAAAATAAAATATTGTTTTTTTTGTAAGGAGAAAATATACTTTCTTGTGAAGATTGCAAATGTATTTTACCATGTTGAAACAAATCTTGTTCATAATAGATAAAATCAGGGTTGGGGTCAATTCCATTTACATTTCAGTCAATTCAGGGAGTGCACTGAAATTCCAATTCCAAATCTCTTCAATGCTTTTCAATTAGGAAAATTTGGAATTGCAATTAGAATTTGGTTCACTTTCTGAATTGACTGGAATTTAAATGGAATTGACCCCAACCCTGGATAAAATGAACTGTATTACTGCAATATAATAACAACAGTAAGAAAAAAAGAAAAGAAAAAAAGATTGGATAGTACACCTGAAAGCCAAAGCGCTCAGTAAAAAAATTAATAAAATGTATATTTTCAGTCAGAGAAGAAGCAAATGTATGAAACAGAAACAAATCTCAAAACCATACCCGAGCTAAACGCACACACACTCAGGGTCAAGCTAGCATGCATCCGGCTTTCCCTGTCTCCCCCCAGTCTTCCCCACAGTGCGGAAGGTTGCTATCACTGTCCCCTCGCCACTGCAATCACTATTCCCAGCTTAACTTCAGGAGATCCATGAGGTGTTATACAGCATCCTACCAACAGCTATCAGCCAGCTATCAACCAGCCCAGTCTGTGGTGCTGTTACAACCTAGCATGGTACCATGTCCACTAGTCTAGTCCAATCCACTTGTTCATGAGAGCAGTATCCAAGCAGTGTGCAGACATGCAAGCATCCAGCCCCTTCTCTGACTCTTCCATAGGATCCTCGTTTGGTATGGAATTGTAATGATTCCCCCATATAGGTGGGATGATGTCCTGCCCGCAGAGGCCCCTGAAAGACCTTCATCCAGGGCTGCCATAACCTTCCTATTAAAACTAATTGGATCCACAGCGTTCCCAGCAGTTTTAGGCAGGGGGCAGCAGAGCTAGGCGGGAAGAAGTGGGGGAGCCGCCTTGACTTAGTAATGCTAGGAGAAACACTGTTATAGACTTTGTGGATGGATGGAGATGGAGGATCACTGGTAGCCCAAGGCAGATGCTGAGCCCAGTCTCTGGCTATAAAGGGCGTAGTGGGGGTAGTAAGGAGAACCAGCCTGGAGGGAGTGCAGGGGGATGGAGGTAGGTCCAGGGGGCAGGTGGACTTTACCATAGGGGTGGTACCTGGCCAGACCCAGGGTATGAGGAGCCCTGAGGGAGAAGGAGTTCTGCAGGGAGGTCTGGCTCTGATGGGGGAGGTGGAGGTGGCAGGAGGCAGCAGAGGAGGAGGAGACAGAGGGGTATGCAGAGAGGAGCTTACTGTCCATCCCTCCAGGTAAGGAGGTGTGTGTGCGTAGGTGGGCCAGCAGCTCATCTGAGGTGGAGAAGCGTTTATCACAAGGCCCCCCAGCCGACACCCAGTTACAGGCATGAGGCATGGGGTCATTGGAGAGCATGAAGCCGTAGGTGTAGAGGGGGTGAGACAGGGTGGGGGTGATGCTGGAAGACATAGTGCTGGGGTGGAGGGAGTGGAGGGGGTGGGAGGTGTAGACCAAGCCTGGGTAGCCTGTTTTGAGGGCGGAGGAGGGGTCGTGGACACAGGGGTGGCTGCTCCCCAGGTGGGGCGCGTTGGGGTAGCTGAGGCAGTAAGGGTCCCTGCAAAAGCCCTGCATGAAGGACGGGGGAGAGGCACCAGTGGTGCTGTGGTGCTTCACCCCCACACCCCCACCTCCCAGACCAGACTTGTTAGGGTCCAACCCTGGGACAAACTGGGAGGGGTATCCAGCATAGGCCGCCCACTACAGAGCCATGGTAGCCCATTCCAGAAGATGACAGGGGGAAGACAGAGTGGCCAGTCTTGTATGGGGAGATGGGCGCAATGTGTCCAGGACCCAGGACAGGCTGTGGTGGTTGGGAGTCCGCCTTGGGCCCCTCGTGGCTGGGGCTTCCCTCAGAGCTGCCTGTGCTGGAGTTGGTGCTGGCTCTGGCGTGGCTGGAGTTAGCCAGCTGGGGACTGTCCAAATTAACCTTATTCACATCCGACTCCTTTTTAAGATGGCCGCCACTGCTACTGTTACTGTTCCTGTGTGGACTGGCCTGTTCCTGTTTGTGTTCTCCATTCAGAGTCTGAGAGTGGGAACCCCGTTGTCCATGTGGCGACTGGCTCTGTCTGTGTGTCTGGGACGATGGCTGCTGTGTGTGCTGAGGGGGCGTCCCACTACCCACCCTGGAGTTGGGAGATATGGCGTGTGGTGGAAAGGACGGACAAGAACCTGATGAGTTACTGTTAGCAACCTCCATTCCCATTACTCGGTACCCTGAACCCGGCCTTATCAGAGCTGTTATTAGAGCTACTAACCCCATCCCTCCGACTGTCTCCCCCTACTTTGTTATATGGCTTGAAGCTGGACTTGTCGTCCTTTATGGGCCGGTGGTCTCCCAGTTTGTGATTGGAGGAGGAGGAAGAGGCGCGTCCATTATGGTCCTTATCACCATGGCCGTTAGAGGAGATGGAGCCTAGCTTGGAGGAGGGAGGAGGGTCAGGCTTGCCGATCTGGGAGCAGGTCTGAGCCAGCAGGGCCAGGGGACTCTTCTTGGCATCCAGCTAGAGAAAAAATAACAATACTTTAAGTTAAGTTTAACCACTTTTCACAACGTTGAATGTAAAGGTTCTGTGGAAAGGAAAACGTATACACACACTCAACTTTTACAGGTACAGAAAGACAGACAGACAGACAGACAGACAGACAGACAGACAGAACTGTAGGCCTATGTCTATTGTCAGTTAATAATTATTTGGCCAGTAACACAGGCACTGGGCCCCCTAGGAATTACAATCTTAACGTTCATAAAATAGCCTACTAATAAATACTGTTGTTAACAGTCATTGTTACGAAATATTGGCAGTAGGCCTAACGATTTCGTGCTGTAGGCTAGGGCTAGTTTTATGGAATTGATGTATTGCCTACAAAGTTTAAGCAAAATGGTGGGAACGGTAACTCGGACTATCTGCAGCCCAGAGGATGTAGTCTATGAGTAAAGACGGTCAGGGAATTACTTTTCAAAATTCCCTGACTGTGCGCATCAAGAAAATAAATAGGCCTACCACGGACTTATATTGCGCATTGTTGGCTAAAAGCCGAGGTACTTGCTTTGCGCAAAAACGCACCACAGTGTTGAGAGAATAAAAGGTGGATTGAATTGGCTATATGCCAAACAACAACACACATCGATGTGACAATTTACCAGGACAATAGAAACATAATCACAATACCTCAATGTTCACTGGTGCAGATTGTAAGGGCTGCAGGTAGTCCGGGTGGTGGAGCAAGTGGCTTGTGTGCGCCGTCAACATCTTGAGTATCCGGATAGGGAGCCGCTTTGCCTGGCGAATAGGATCCAAAGGAGTCGGTGAACAAACTAACGCGCCCGTTGGGGAGCTGCGGTTATCACTACAGTCACAGGGCTCCGAGGTCTGGCAGCGTATCTCGTGCGTAATAGCTCCAGTAGAGGAATCTTTCATTGGAGATGGAAACGAAAATATGTTTGAGAGGGGCAGTGCTTTGTTACAGTCCCGAGAAAAGAAATTGTATAATTATCCCTGCGCAGTGTATAGCCTAGTTTATAATCCGGGAGAGAAAGTCTGTAGCCTATTCGCCATCCAGTTTCATCATACAGAAGTTGACGGTCGGCTCTTCTTCACTCATGGTACCGATTCCAGAATTGTTCTTCCAGGGATTCTAATTCACAAAAGTCACATCAATCGAAATGTGAGCGAAATACATTCATACAATTCAGTTCTAGAATAAGTATAGCCAAAATGAGAAAAGGTGTAGATATTTCCAAAACGCGATACGAATCAAATCGGAATCTCACCACTCCAATGTTTATCTCGCTCTCTCTCTCCGTCTCTTCAGCAGTTACACATCATCTGGACCGTACCTCGAGTGTATGAGATCACAAGGAGACCTTCAAAGTAAGCGAGCCGCCGTCCAATAGTGGATGGCTGCATGGGTAATGAGAATGGCTGGTGCGTTTCTTCTGAAGGCGGAGCAATATTGTCCCCCTCGGCCAATGAAGACAGACTGTCTGTCCACTGTATTTCACGGCGTTAGATATGTCTTCTGATAATCTTTCAAATGTCATCATTCCAGAACGGAATGTAATTTCCTTTGATGCAAAAATTCTAACAGGCGCCCTATATGGCATTTATGTTGATTTATGTATCACTGATTGTATCAGTGTGCCATCTACATGACCAACAGGGGGCACTATTGATGACATTGTGTCACCGTTCATCAGCAGTATCACCAATACAGTAGGCTACAACCAAGTTTTTGTCTGAGATATACTGGCTGTGAGGCAAATTTTAATGAATTATACTCTTGTGACTATTGTGGTCACTGCAGGGGTGAAATAAAGTTACTTTTGGCAGAAATTGAATAACGTTGTCTAGCCCCAGCTGTCACATTCAACAACCATTTTACTCTCTGTCTCCTTATTTGAACTTTAAAACCAGTTAAATGTAACTAAATGTCATCAAAAATGTAATTTACACAATCCCCAAAAGTATTTATCATGAGGGCCATAAACAATAACTAGTAATGCTGCATACTCAAATAAATATTACATTCTCACCTTTCTGGTCTTTTTTTAAATACATTGTTGAGGTGTAGTCACGTTTGAGGTCACAAGCTCAAGTACACAGTACAAATATAATAAAAATATGAAAATATGAAATATTTTATATGATGTATTTCCTATTCAACAAAACTGTATGAATGAGGCTTGAAATGGCTTATATGCTTTCTAAATATAGCATAATCAAATTATAAACCGACTAACTATAAGATTTCACTTTCCTTATAACTGTGAAATAAATATTTGTATGTTTAGTGTAGAGAACACTTGCATATTTTGTGAAGGTCTCCATTGATCAAAACGTCTGCCCCTATCGCTGAGAATGTCTCACAGTGCTCTTGCTTGGCTTCCTGAACTGGTTAGGAACTCGCCTTTCATCTCATAATAATATTGTCCGTCTATGACAAACCGAAAGTGTTTTTTGTTTAATATCTATGATTGTTTTATTTATTAATGGCTATAAATCGATCTCTGAATGTGCTACCATGATGAAACCACTCTCTCCTGCTGGCTACAATGTAACGATTGCAGGCATGTGTTTTATTGTCGGTGGCTGTGATGTAGAGTTCAACCAGAAGTTGGTAGGAGGGACAGCCCAGCTTGAAGTGGTTTCAGATTTCACATCCTACATCACACAGACTCAGAAAAAATACTAGTGTCCGTGGGAACCAGGGCCATTGCTCAACGCAAGCCATTAAGGTCTACGGTGTCCACAAATCGAATATAAGCAGGTTCCCTAAAAAGTATGGAGGATCAAAGCGGCCATAATTAGAATTAAATGAATAAATAAATACATGCACACATGAATAGATAAATACATGAATAAATAAATAAAGGCACACAAATATAGATAAATACATAAATACACACAAATAAAGAAATACATGGATGAATGATTGCCCACATAAATAGATAAATAATTATTTAAATAATTAATCCCACTTTCTTTCATTTAATTCATTTATATTATTGCTTCATTTATTTATTTCTGTATTTCTTCCTCCAATATGATAATGAGGGGGTGTCAAGCAAACATATGTGGGTGGTATCTAACACACCATTGGTTGATCAATGCCATCACACGTTGATCGACTGCATTTGCCTGGGCTGTATTCATTATCACTGAACGTGTTCAAAGTTTAAAGACCATGTTTCACAATAGCACCCCCCAAACAATAATGTGTAGCACATAGCTATGTTCAATATGATGTCACTTTTAGGGTGGAAATTGGAGATACAAATCAATTATATGCTGCTGTGTCGCACGTGCACCATAAAAACACAAAAATAACAAATAGAACATTGTCCTTGCTTGACGTAGAAACAGGTGAACACTGAGCCATTTGCCTGCCTGCACCAGGTGGCTGTGTTACGAGTGGGTTGCTTTTGACAATAAGGCACCGGACTACAGCCATATAGTTTTGAACCTAGAAGAAGGCCAAGAAGGAGTCGCAAGAAGGCGTTGACCGGGATGGGCAAGAGGAATGTCTAGTTGTCCAGAAAAGCATGGAATGCTAACATTACAGAGTATCAAGCTAGCTTGTTTGGCCACAACTGGTAAAGTCGAGTTGGCTAGCTAGCTGCTTTTTACAGCCAGACTCAGTTTTACACTTAGCTAGCTAGATAATGAACTACACTGCAATTATCATAAACCATTATTATCTAGGTAGCTAAAGATCTGTCAGATGTAAAGCAAGCAGGATCGTGGCATGTCAGAAGGAATGCATGTTGGCTAGTTCACGTTAACTATTATTAAGCAATAGCGTGGATACTTAATTAATAAGCTAGCAGCTAGCTAACTACAGTCAAGTAAGGAGGAGCATGTTGCCATGATGGAATAAGTCACCGATGTGAAGCTAGCCATAATACGGATTAGCCACAATAGTGGAATTTACTGTTCGCCTTAGCAATTGTTAGTGAGAAGAGACGTGGTGCCATGATATAAATAATATCTTAGCTAGCTATAAATTCACATGTATGCCATATAATTTGTCATAGCCATTATCACAAAATGGCATGTATACTTTTAACCAGCTCTATTGTCATTTACAGACATGAATGTGAAATAGGCATACTGATACATGAATCCTAAATACAGGTACCGTTTTCTTGTTAATCTCTGCAGGTTTGTCATCTGGCATCTGGCACGACATTTGTCTGCATTCAGGTTGAGGCTTGCTACCAGCAAGAACATGGAGTACTCTGTCAGTAAGTCATGATATTATTGTTTTGATATTAGGCAGGAGGCCCTGGGCCAATGGGAGGTCAGGGGTGAGGGCTCTCTCTCTTTCTAGCACTCACTACCGCTATCCATCTCTCTCCCGGTGCTACAGAGACAGAATGGTCCAAGGACCTCCAGAGCCTTCTGACCAATTACCTGTGATCTCTCCAGAGCAGTAAGCTACACTCATAATAGTATACTTGATGCACCATGTAAACCTCCTTCACTGTGGCAGTCTGCCTGTGTGATGACATGGCATATTATCCAGAGCCACTAGTTGCATAGCCGCGGGAAGTAGGGGTGCTGAGGGTGCTGCAGCACCCACTGAAAATGAAAATAAATAAATATTAATAGAAAATATATATAATTTTTGGAAGAACAAAATATTATTCACAAAAGTAGTGCACTGGGTCTTTACTAGTATTAGTGGACTGATATAGACTTATGCAGCCCGGGGCAAAACATTTTTTTCAGCATCTCCACTTTGGCAAAAAAGGTAGTTGTATAATTAAAGAACAGTATCTTGCAGGATTCAATAGTTGGAATTGTAAGAGTTGTTGCCCTGTCCCTTTCTCTGTGATTGTCATTCTAATGGTCCAGAAAGAACAAAACCCTGTCCTCAAACATTTACATCAAAAGGTGCAAAGTTATGGGCAAAGACACAAAACATGGAACACAACCACTTTTTGTTAAGTATTAATTTACCATCCTTACAATCTACTTAATTCGGAAAGTATTCAGACCCCTTGACTTTTTCCACATTTTATTACGTTACAGCCTTATTCTAAAATGGATTACGTTGTTTTTTCCCCTCACAATACCCCATAATGACAAAGCAAAAACTGGTTTTTAGACATTTTTGCAAATGTACTAAAAATAAAACACTGAAATATCACATTTACATAAGTATTCAGACCCATTACTCAGTACTTTGTTGAAGCACCTTTGGCAGTGATTACAGCCTTCTTGGGTATGACGCTTGGCACACCTGTATTTGGGAAGTTTTTCCCATTCTTCTCTGCAGATTCTCTCAAGCTCTGTCAGGTTGGATGGGGAGCGTCGCTGCACAGATATTTTCAGGTCTGTTCGATCGGGTTCAAGTCCGGGCTCTGGCTGGTCCACTCAAGGACATTCAGAGACTTGTCCCTAAGCCACTTGTGCGTTGTCTTGGCTGTGTGCTTAGGGTCGTTGTCCTGTTGGAAGGTGAACCTTCTTCCGAGTCTGAGGTCCTGAGCACTCTGGAGCAGGTTTTCATCAAGGATCTCTCTGTACTTTGCTCTGTTAATCTTTTCCTAGATCCTGACTAGTCTCCCAGTCCAGTGGCGGCTCCTGAAAAAATTCTCAGGAGGGGCAATTTTTCTGATGATTTAGGTGACCTACACACATTTAAAAAAAGATATGTCCAGCAACAACATGAAGACAGGGGCAGCATATAAGTCAATACCAGAAGCATTTATTGACTGATCTGGGGAGATGGATTCCAGTTTCTGTGACAGATTATAAATAATCTCTGATGCCTTTGTTATATTAGCTTTTGGTTGAATGTACTGTCGTAGTAAATATATAATGTTATAGCTTGGTCTGACTAAAATCTTGTGCATGACCCATTTTGTGTTGGGCCTTTGTATTCAATACAATGAACAAGAGTCCTATCTTGTCAG